CTGATACGTAAAACCATAGAACTCAAAGAGGGTGTACTTTCTTTTTCACACAACTGTAGCTTGTAAGTTCTATTCAGTTCAAGTTACTTCTGTTTGCTCTTAAGAGTGTGCTCTTAATGATCAGCCGTGATCATGCTGGATTTCAGATACTCATGCATTAGGTCATGCAAAAGCAAAATTTGTGTGAACTATGTAAGTTGTGGACACTGTACATATAGGTAAACTTTTGCTTTTCCTTTTGAAATATGTAACAACAGTGATCCAGGTAACATAGTGGCTTACATAAACAATAGCTCCCCTATCTCTAAGATGGTATGCATGTATTTTGCTCTTGAGTAAATGTGACAGAAGCTTATATGAGACCGGCTTTTCCCAATAAGCTCGCCTAGAGGGCTCCAAATGGAAGCTGCATTAGGTAATCTCTAATCTATTGTGTAGTGAAATGCTAATCCTCATTTAGAACAACAAATTCAGGATGAGGCTTGCATTTTTACTGAGTGTCCATGCATGTCTGCATAAATGTCTTTTCCTCCTTCTTTTCCTTTAAAAAAAGGTCCCTAAAGGAACAGATGAGAACTGGGCTCAGAAACTCTACGATCGCCATGGGAGCAGTCAACATTTCCAGAAGCCTCGCATGTCAAATATGGCATTCATTATTGTGCATTTTGCAGATAAGGTAATGGGAATGACGTGAGAATGTCTGGTGCAGGACCAGCCTTTCTCCCTAACTAAGTGAGGGACCACATCTCCCTGTGGTCTGAGGAGCCCTTGCATGTTGATTGCCTGTACCAGCTGCTGTGTATTTATTCACTTCCCTTTCACCTCTGAAACCTGAAGGCAGGAGAAAGTTCAGGGTACTTACAAATGTGCTGAAAAATTGAACTTGGGATAGAAAAAGAGTTTTAGATCACCTCTTCTTTCCCTTCAGTTGCATCATGGTGATATAGTGCTGGACTTGAATGTCAAAACTGGATGAATATGCACTTTCCCTCATTCTAGCTCTCTTTTATGTTGTTAATAGTACCTGCTAAACATAGGATTCCGCTCCATTGTTTCTTTCTTAGAACTAGAGTATAATTCACATCAAGCAGTAGAGAAGTTTGGTAACCCAACTGAGAAGATCTGGCCTGAACTCTCCACTGAAACTACCTTGGTGCTTTTAAGCAGCCACAATTTCTCACCTCTGTTGATTCTGTTGTAACTCTTGAAGATTATAGCTGCCAATTTTCTAAGAGTTCCTAGTGAGGTTAGTTGGCAGGAACTGCACATGTGGCCTCTCTTACAATGGAGGCCAAATCATCCTCAAACCAAAATATCAATTGCTTGGTGGAGGTGGCAGAATCATGAAAGACAAGATGAGGCCAGTCGCTATGGGATGCTAAGACAGTAAGCTAGTCATTTATTCATGTGGATATGAAAAATAGGGTGGGATACCAAGGAGCTTTAAACAAAAAAACTTTGCTTAAGTTCTCACAGGTGAGAGGGACCAGGCTGATGGGCTGAGGCAGGATTGTCACCTGGTGGTTCATTTTCTCTGGATTATAGCAATATTAAAAGGATCAAAGTTTATGTTGTCCAGTGTGTTCAAGAGCTTGTTAAAAATGACTCACAATCTTGGGGAATAACCATGTGGCATTTTTAACATCCCTCTGAATTTCTATAGCTTAGAACTATGAGATCCCACCAAGTGGATCACATTTATGGTTTATCCCACACTCTGTCCAGTTTCCCAGTGCTTATTCTTTCTGCCACCTGTGATGGTGGCTGGAAAAGATGATGTGGGGAAGAGAGTTATGAAAGATTATCATCAGTATGGGGAATTGAACTCATTGTACAGGTTTCCATTTTGACTCTAAAACTTTGATCTCCCTTTCCTGTTTTCTACATGATTGGGACATATAAACCTGCCTTTAAGGAATGGACTTCCCACTGCAGCATGCTTGACTGTTTCAACTGAGAATAGGGAATGTGTGCTTCTCCTGTTGTTACTGAGCTACAACTTCCTTACAGCTCTAGCCAGCATAGCCAGAGGGGAGGGCGCTGTGAGTTGCACTTCAGCAATATTTGGGGGCCAGAAATGTCCCCCACTTACAAAAAAACCCTCACAACGTGGACACAGGGGTATCTTCAGATCAAAAAAGTCAAGTTGATGGCCACAACCATGTGATCAAAGGCCTACCCCTTTTGAACATGTTACATCTGCCACACATGGTAAAAAGGGGTGGGGATTCAATCATAAGGATAATTACTGTACAAATCCTTACTAAATTTGATAAGGAAGAACTTTGACCAAGAAATCTTGGATCCTCCTTAACAAGCACTTTTTTTTATTGCCCCGTAAAGGGAAAATATAGTACTACATTGAAGGCTCATTCTGGGAAATGTTTCTAGCTAGAGAATTTTAATGACTTGGAAGTTTGAAATTTACAACCTTTGCTTTTTAAAATCATGGTTCTGACAGACGATGTTCAGAGAAAAAAGCATATTTGCGTACTTGTGGATAATGTAATTAATTGATCAATTATGTGCCATCAATTCAGTGTTGATTTTTTGTAAACACATAGACTTCTCCAAGATGGTGCAGGCGATAGATACATATATTATTTATGCTAATCAAAAGCAATTTTCAGAAAAAGCTCCAGAAATGCTGTTCCAATTTTGCCAAACATGGATTCTTGTTTTAACCAACACTGGGTTACAGAGACATTTTCTTTGGAAAAGGAAGTAGCTTTGGTTGCATCTAGCTAGAGAGAGAATAAGATACTCTCCTCACTTCAATTACACTTTTTATGATGCATTTTCCTGGGAGTGAGTGAACGGGAGAAATGATTATAATTATTTAACAAACAAATAGCAACAGTTCTAGTTGCCATTTACTGACTTGATCATTTTTATCAAAGTCTTTTCTTCCACATGAAAGTCTGAAGCTATTTGGAGAATGGAGATTTTTCTTCTGAAAGTTCACATGTCATAAGTACTTCATCAGATGCTTAAAAGCTTCAAGGGCATGGTGGGTTCTACCCATCCTCCAGGCGTATTAACACCTTTTCAGGTTAAAAGCCAGGCTTTTATTGATAAGCACCTAGTTATGAACATAAGGAATATGCTCAACTAGCCTTTTGTGTACATCAGCATACGCACAGCTCAGTTTGGATTGGATGTAGAAATCTACATCCAGATATTTTAGCATTCTGTAAAAGATTATGATTAAAAAAAAAATTAGAGAAGAAAAAAAAATAGCCTATCAGTACAGACTGTCCATGTTGCTGAAGAATATCCTAATTTGTTTGATAGGTTTATTTGTACTCAGAATTTTAATTTTCCTCTTTTTTTTCCCTATCCCTACCCTGGTTCTGTAACCTTTTCTAGGTGGAATACTACTGTGAGGGCTTTCTGGAAAAAAATAGAGATACAGTCCATGAAGAACAGATTAATATTCTGAAGGCCAGCAAGGTAAAGCTTCCAATGGGGAAAATAGATTGGATTGTGGTATTATGGCACTATACATTGAAGTTCCCTCTCTTTTCATTTTTGATGGCTCAGTTCAGGTTTATTTGTGCAGAAGAACGTCTTGGTTGATAGTGTGAGGTCCAAGCTGCTGGTCAGTATTGAGAACAAGTTTGTAACATGTTTACCCATTGCTAGTAGTGAGATCACAGTGTAAAAAGCAAGGTGTATCTCAAGAAAACCAGAGGAGATTAATTAACTTTCTGGATCTCCGTAAAGTCTTGAGGGACACCTTTGCACATGGCTAGTTTCTTTGTTGAGACCTTGTCAATTTTCCACGCACCATGTTTTCTGTCTAAGTCATTGTATGAGACCGACTCACTAGTCTAGTCCTATTTTGATATATTGACTATTATGTAAAACATATACATAAAAGTGACTATCTGAGCTACTTCTAAACTGGGGAATCAACAAATCAGTTTCTTTTTGAGCCATATCACTTTCTAGCATGCCTGTCTATGTAGTTGTTTCCTTATTTCCACTTGGAGTGCCTAAAGTGGTTGTACCAAAGAAATAAAAATAGCAGCTTGCTATCAACAAAAACATCTTTTATGCCACTTGATGACTCAAGGGTGAACTGCTGAAACTGGACAACATTCTGTTTGAAATGGCATGGCTTATGCTCCCTTAGAGCACGCAATCAGGATAGCCTCCATTATTTCTGTTGCATAGTCCTGAATGATTGGTTTCTGTCTTCTGAAGATCAGGGAAATGTTACATTTTCTCCTGCTTCAGAAATCTGACAGATACAACCCACATCTGTAGGAAACAGTGTTTTTTTTTTTAATCAGACACTCAGCTTGCATAACAGGACACACCCATGACAGTGTAACAGACTAAGTAAAAGATGGTCCTCTGACTTCGGTGTGACTGGTGGTCATATTTGAAATTTTGGAAACCAATTGTGTGTGTTCTTACGTAGTGGCTGATGAGTTGAATGCTTGCCCATTTACAAAATGAGTGCTGGGGAGGGCAGAGAGGCATAAACAATTACGTATCACCAATTTATCAGAATGTTCCTTGCTCTAGCCCTCCCCCACCCCCACCCAACTACTTTGATTAATTGATTGTCTTTCTCTACTTTCTTGGATTCAAGAAAAAAATGTCTCCTGGTGGTTTACAGCAGAAAAACAGGGTAAAAATGTAAAAGCCAAAAAACCCACACGTAGTAAGGGTAATGTTGGCCATTCTCTCTCCAAGGCCGTCCAGAACAATTCTGTCTTTAAGAGTTTCTAGAAGGCCAACAACGATGGTGCCAACCTAATCTCAAGGGGGAAGAATGTAACAGAAATGTTGCTTGTGAGCTCTGGATCCCTTCACCTCCCCTACATGGTGTACCATTAAAAGATGTCAGTGGGAGGTCTGCACTGGGGGCCATTTCTATGCAGAGATGCAGTCCTGTAAATAAGTTGATACTGAGCCATTTAAGGCTTTATGGGTCAAAAACAGCACTTTGAATTGTTCACCTTTGCTCCTTTTCTAGGCAAGCGGGCACACACTCAGGCTAAGCACTTCCCCCCCCCCCAAACTTCTAAGAAGTGTTATGGGGCCTGTTTGAAACCCAGAGACATTCTTGAGAATAAAGATGAGGCTGGTACTTCAATTTGCAGCCTGCCAGCATTTCATTCTCTTAAATTATTTTTAATATAAAAAGTTAGGTAGGCAAGGGAAGTTGGCAGGCACCAAGAGATAAAGGACCCCACAGTTCAACCCTGAGCTACACGTATTCACCTCCATTGATAAAACCTCAAGCATGTCGGCTCCTCCAGGCCCCATGCTGGGCAACCTTGGGTGGTTCCTTGGACCTTCTGCATTACCTACCAGTAACATGCCATTTCCAATCAGGAACAGACAGTGCAATTGTCCTGGCAGTGCTATGCTTTTAAAGTTTTCTCCCTTAATAAGGGTTTAATTAGACTCAAATATGCCTGTGTGGTATGGATTCATATGTGCCACATACAGAACTGCAGAATCTAGCAGTTCCATATGCACTTAACACTGAATGCCAGCGTGAGCCACAGGCTACACCAGTAGCAACTTCCCTGCTGAAAATAGATTTCCTTAAAGAGTGGTTCAGTTTATTTTTATTGGACACTCCCTAGAGGAGCGTGTTTGCTTCTCTCCCTTTTGACAGGATTTTTTTTTTTTTAAATCCTGGGGGTTGCTTTTACCAGGAGACATCTGATAAAAAGAAAAGTCCTGTAAGAACTACGGGAAAATTAGCTTCTGATGGGGAGGAGGTGGCCGCATTTACAAGAGGCTTCCTTCAAGGGGCTTAGGAGACAGGCTGGACTGCCCAGAGGAGATAACACAGTTTCAATGGCAGGTTAATTTCATGCCATTGTTAGGAATCAACTGCAGGGAGAAAGAGCAGGCTATAAAAAGAGCCCGACGGCAAACAAGGAACACAAAAGGATACTTGGTATTTTGAGCAAGGTGGTCTGGTAGCGGCGTGTGGGTTAGGCAAAAGCATTCTGCAGTCTGACTGGGTGGGGGATCTCTTCTGGCTGGATTTTTTTTTTTTTAGATTTTTTATCCTGCCCTTCTTATTATTTTTATAAATAACTCAAGGCATTGAACATACCTAATTCCTATTCCTTCTTCCTCCTGTTTTCCCCACAACAACAACCCTGTGAGGTGAGTTGGGCTGAGAGAGAGGGACTGGCCCAAAGTCACCCAGCCACTTTCCTGCCTAAGGCAGGGCTAGAACTCACCATCTCCTGGTTTCTAGCCTGGTGCCTTCACCACTAGACCAAACTGTCTTTCTCTCTCTCTCTCTCTCTCTCTTTCTCTTTTTTTTATTGTTTTTACTCTTTTTTTTTTATGGTGGACCATAAGGAATAGCTTAAACCTAAAGGCCATCAAAGGAAATGGTAGCCCCAGGCTGAGTGTGAGAAAGCAAAATGGGTTGGAAACAGTTCATGCTTGGCTGGGATTATAAAATGAAAGGCAGAATATTCATGTACCCCAGTTGCCTCATGATGCAAGAAGTACAAGAACTACTCCACTGGAGGAACTCTCTTCTCCTCGGAAATACATTTTCAGAGCAAATTGTCATTCTGACTGAGAACCGGCGTTAACAGTGTCGGAGGATTTCTCTGCCTGGCACTAGATATAATATACTGGATTATGAATGGTGATTAGTCAGAAGAGATATATTCTAGCCATGTGCTGGATTGAAACATCAGGGTTTGGGTATTGTCTGCCATAACTTATTCATGGATTTCTTAAAAGCATTTGACTTATAGCTCCTGGGATGCTGGATTAGATGGAAACTTTTGGAGAACTAAATATATGATCTGGTAGAGATCTGACTCCTCTGCTCCACACTCACATGGCCTCTCTGCTGGGACCCCTTTGCTTCCCAAGACCATCAGCTTCCTGTACTTTGGGCAAGACTTTCAGTGTTTGCTATATATACACCATACCAGTAATAAATCAGTTACTCTGATCCTCCCCTGTGTACCCACGCACCTGAATAGAAATACATGGAAGCAATACATGGAATCTTAGCTGCATAATCCCTGAATTATAGAGATAACAGAGGATTTCTCTCAGGAATAAAGTGACAATTTGTCTGAAGGTGTTAAAACAACAAAAGCTTGCTGGAGGCAGGAGATAGACAAAAGGGTTTTGTAGGTAGCTGACATTAAAATAAAACTTGCAAGCATGAAGCAGATAGACAGTTGTGCATCAAGCCAGAAAACCGTTCTGTGCAAACAGATTTTTTCCTCAGCTGGAGTTTGGCAGAAATGTAAACAAAACCAAGCCAATTAATCTCCAGAAGCAACTGATGACACATTGCCATCCTGTCTTGATGAAGACAGTTGTGGGAATGGGCTGCGTCTCATTATTCTAGCAAGCAACTTGGATTGATGTTCTTAAATGGGGCAGGTGTGTTAGAGGTTGAAGCATTCTCTGTGTGCATGTGAGCATCCTTGAAAGCAGAAATCTGAGCTGAACAAAGATTAGTGAAGCAGGTCAGGAAAGTTTAAAAGGAAGGAGATATGTTATAGGAATAGGCAAAGCCTAGCACCTAACTCACATCCTACCAGGAGGAGAATCCAAGAGCATGTGCTCTGTGCATATGTGTGGGGAAGAAAAGCAGAAGGAAGCAACCTCAGATTAGGGGAAAGAGCAGATAGAGTGAGTAACGAAGAAGGAACACAGTAAATCCTCAACACTCTATCTACTATTGAGTTTGGACCTCTAACAATATACAACATTTTTTTCATGACAGAAATGCTATGATAGAGCAAATATTTCCACATTCAGAACTCTTCCATAATATGCATTCCTAAATTAAAAAAAAAAAGATAATGCCTTCTTTGGGGAAAATTTGATATATATTCCCAGCAGGTTGAGAAAAGATGCTATATATTAACAGTAATCTCAATTCCTTTGTGCTAGTTATTATGTAGATAAAATCCATAAGAATAAATATCAAGCTTGAGTCAACCCCAAGGTTTGCAAAAGTACAAAAACTTTTTAGAGGAAAACTTTGGGGAAGGAATCTCTCCAATGAAGAATGAACTTTAAGGTAGATTTGAAGGTAAATGTGTGGTTCAGAGCCCACAGAAGCACAAATGGGAGCTGTATGATCCTGAGAAAAGTTACAGCTGCTTGAAGGTGTTGGGGACAAATGCTATGTTTGCACACCCACCTGCTCTGGAAACCTTTTGCCTTTGCAACTGAAATTCTGCAATAGCTTACTAAGGAGGCTCAGTGGATGTAAAAGGCTGGATGGGGAAATGGAATGAATTATCTGGGGATTGAATATGGCTGAGCAGTAACTTCAGGCTACAGAGTCCCTTTTTTTAAAGCACTTTCAGTTGCCAGGTGGCTTCCATAACCTTCGTAATCAGCATTGGCCACAGGTCCATCAGGTCACCATTCCAGTCCCCAGTATACAGCTCATAACCAAATCTGAAAATAGCCTCCTGATCTTTGAGTTCATGGCCAAAGTGCCATCTGGATCCCAGTCTCCCAGGCCAAACTGCAAAACAAATGAAATCTACAGTTATTTATTTTGGAACTGAAAAAGTAATATGCATTCTTCAATTATTCATCCATTTAGAATATGTTTAGAGAGCAGGTAGAATAGAGGAAATAGTTTCTTCCACTTTTCTTAATAGATTACCAAAATCTGATAAACCTGATGAGATGATGAATAGAATGCATAGAATAAAACATGCCCACTAATAACCAATATTAGCTTTATATTTTACAATTATTAAAAGGACACGAAAGAGTTTTTTAAACATGCCTCCTGTTCTCTGTATGCTGCCTTCTGAAAGAAATGAGAAAAGGGGTAGAAAATAATATGAGGAAGGACAGAGTATAATGATTGGGGCTTTTCTGCTTACAAAAAAAGATGCCTACAAGGAGATATTTTTGCATGCAAAAGAAAGAGTGAACAGGGAGAAATTCTTCTCCATCTTCCATAAGACTAGAACTGGAGGCCACCAAATGAAACTGACTAATAGAAGATGTAAAATGGATAAGAAGAACCGTTTTTTCATGCAGCATGTAATCAAGCGGTAGAATACGTTGCCATAAGACATGATATTGGCTGTTAGCTAGGTGACTTCAGGTGGAGACCTGACAATTCCTAGGGGGCAGGTCTTTCAATGTATAGCCTGGATGATGGGTGCTGCCTCCTGTCATGTGAACTGTCCATTCCTACACACTCAGTACCTGGGAGCAACAGTGGAAAGAGCTCTGCCTTGATCTTCTGTTTGTGGGCTTCCTAACCATGTGAGTTAGAATGCTGGTTAGATGGGCTTAGTCCTGATCCAGCAGACTGAGTCTCGTGTTTTCAAATTCCCCTGAGCCTGCTGTCAAGAGATTAAAAATAATAATAAAAACAATTGCGAACGATACAGTGAGGCATCGCATCTTGTTTAGCTCTGGAATATATAAAGATTGTTTGGTTTCATTAAGACTGATACTGCTGATACCTGGGGTGGATTACGCCTTCCGTTGAGGAGTACGTGTTTCTTTGTTAAGAAATTATGCTTGGGTGGTTGACTGCTGAAGCAAGAATACCCCACAAGTGCATACAGCTTTTATTTCTTCTTTCTAGTATCCAGTGATTATGGAGTTGTTCCATGATGAAAAAGACCCCGCTCCAACTGCTCCCTCTGGAAAGAAAACGTCTTCAAAAATCAATATCCGGTCTGCCCGTCCAGCTGTAAAAGCAGCCAATAAAGAGCATAAGAAGACAGTTGGGCACCAGGTACAAAGGGGTCTTTTTCAAGGCATTTTCCATGTTTCTCTTGCAGGGTGCTTGCTTCTGGCCCTTCCAAGTTATAATGTCAATGAATAATTGCCAGGGCTACAGAGCAAGTGAATTCAAGACTATGACATGTTAAAAAAAAAACTGGTGCTAAAATTAATATATAATATCTTTCCCTCGATTACTTTTTTGGGGAGAGGTTCTTTGGAGCCTCAGAGACTACAAATCAGGAGACAGAAATTCAATTTGCATGCAAAACCATCCCAGGGCTCATTCTAAGATGAAGATATTTTAAGGGTTTTCCCCTAGCGCTAGGGATAGAAGAGGAAAATTGCTTCCCTAAAATACCTTCCAGTGACACCCTGCTCCCTGGCTGGAATCAGGAGATTAATTGGAAGAGCAGGAGACAGGTATGATGATGAGCAAAAAGCCTCAGTAGCTGATTCATTGACTGGTTTGTTGGTAGCCTCTGTCTGGCCTCTTAGGGTTGGAAGAAGTTCTGAGCCAGGCAGCTCTTATAATTGTCTTCATACCCCCAAAATCTCTTGAGTCTTTCTGTTCTTCATTTTGAGAAGAAGAATATTGTGGCTACATGTCAGCCACCAAGCATGACGCTTCTGGTTCTGGTGTGTCTGGATTGTGTAGCCTGGACCATGTAGGTGGGCTTTGTTCTATGTAGACCATGACAGTATTAGTTTGGGTTCACATACTCTTCTAAGGCAGGATTTTTAAGCATGATTTGTTGAAAGCCATTGTGGATTGCTTCGCACATCATGCTAAGTTGTAACGTAAATATTCACTCATCACACAAAGCCAGTAACCAATCATATTTTGGTTGGTGTGAAGTGTGAAGTCAGCCATTCCGTCAGGAAAGAGGGTCCTGCTCCCATCTTGGATCAGGTATTTGTCCTTGCAATTCTTAATTTCCCCCTTGTAAAATGTGAGCGGCTTGGTCATTTCATCCATTTTTACCTGCAAAGCAAGCTTCGTTACATTCCTCCCTTTCCTACAGAGTTAAGGGATCGTTCTTTTTTTTTTCTCTTTCAGTTTCGTAATTCATTGCACCTGTTAATGGAGACCCTGAATGCTACCACTCCCCATTATGTTCGGTGTATCAAGCCCAATGATGAGAAGTTACCCTTCACGTAAGAACTGTTTTCTGATGAGACTAGAAGTTCTGTAGCTTGCTGAAAGACTGGGGACAAATAGATTGTGAAATGTTTGTCACCAGAACTGATAGGGTACCTCATGATTCCTTAGCTGTCTTCACACAGCACCCTTAACTGGGATACCTTGGGACTTTATGCAAGATGCTGAGATTAGCCAGTTTTAACTTTAGTGTACTTATTTATGTATATGATTGATATGGCTGCCCATCTCACAGCAGTGATTCTGTGAATTTTTGGTTGCTTAGTATGTTATGTGAGCCATTATAAGCCAAAAAAGTGCTTTAGAGCAGTGTTTCTCAACCTTGGCAACTTTAAGATGCGTGGACTTCAACTCCCAGAATTCCCCAGTTTTGTTTGGTTTTGGCTTAGCGCATTGCATGAAGCCAGCCACTGTGAGTTGAAGCCACCCCTACCCTCCCAGCTTTCTGGAAAGGATTAAAGACCTGGCTCTGCCAGTTTGTGACAAGAATCTTACCCAATCCTGGGGTGGCTGGCACCTTGATGACACTCCCTGAGCTACTGCCAACTTAGCATCTATTTTTGGATTATATTTATTTTCTATTTAGTCAGGATCACTTTTTATTATTTTTTAATTGATTTTAACTGCTTTGTAAACCGCCCAGAGTCGTTTTCTAATGAGATGGGCAGTAACAAATTTGATATATAAATAAATATAAAAATAAATACATTTGCAAGGCAAGGTTAATGGATCTGTTTGTTGTGCTGACCCACCTAGTGGTAGTTTATTTAGCAGATAGAAGTAACTAACTAACCTTGGGTGGATCTGATAAAGCTAGGCACGGTCAGTTCTTGCTAAACTTGGATCTGAGAGTACCTGGGCTATAGATTCAATTTGGAAGTGTAAAAAAGTCCCTGAAAAAGGCAGTGGTAAACTTACTTCCATGTTGTTGTGGGCAAAGCTACATGGATGTTTCCATGTTGTCACCCGGAGTCACGTTTACCTCAAGGGTGTCTTTACCTTTTCACACACCAAACGTGGTTAAACAATGTGCAAATTCAACCATTATTTTTCCAGTGATACACAGCCAAGTGCAGAGACCACTTTTACTCCAGTGTCAGTATATATAAGAAATATAAAGCAATTGTCCACGAAAATATATTATGCTATGCTTCCTCAAGTATCATATCTACCTCAATTCCTGTTGCATTATATTCATGCTGGGACAGGACCAAACCCTCAACCTGGAAGAAAGTTGTGTTGGACTATAGGTTCCAGCAGGCCCAGCCAGTAAGTCCAGTGAAGGAGTCAAGGGAGGTAGACTGACCACTGTGCCTGCACCTCCTCCTTCGTCTGTTGGGGAGAATACTTGAATTGGTTAACTGTTGCTGGAAGTCTGGAATAGAATAATACAAATTAAAATGAACAAAAACGTGCCCCGTGGCTCTCTGTTGCAGTTTTTGCTGCAACAGATAAAAATTGCTACCCCCATAGCAGTGCAGTATATCGCAAGACCTCCCTCACTTCCATCCACAAGATCAGAATGAGAAAAGTGTTTATATTGAACGTTCAGTTTATCGCTTCAGTGAGAATTTACGGAAGCAAACATCAGATCTCGAGCAGAAACCAATAAAGCAGTCACTGTGTGGAATATCATAGCAAAAGGTTATTACCGTTACCTTCAGCGGAAATTTAGCAGAAACGAGACAGTGAGTCCTGTTAGCTGATAGAGCAGCAGAAATTTGCTGGCTGCATGTTTCACCTATTCACCATGATTGGATCTTGCTATTTCTGTATACGTAACAAACTTCCCACTGCTAAATCTTTGAGATCAATCTTGCATTCTTTACAGCCAGTATCTGATTTAAATAAATTTAAATAAATTTAAATAAATTTAAATAGATTGTTGCAAAGGATACTAATAGCGTTTTACATGCAATGCCTGTAATCTCTTGAGCAGTACAGTATAAATAATTACCGCTTTACAGTGCCATCATTCAATATTCAGTTTCTTAATTAAGTCAGATTAGAGAACATTAGGTCTGTAATCAGATATTGTCCTGGGATTTATTGTTGCAGGAAGTTTATACCATTAGCTTTCCTCCATTCTCAGATCTAAAAGCAATTTAATAATTCGGGTATTTCAGTGACCCATTCCTGAAAAAGGTGGAACAATAAGCTTGTACTGATAATTAGTAACAGGTTGCTTCGCCACCTACATTAAGAACTATTTCTGGATCATCCATTTGGGCACAATGTATATTTCATGCTCCAAAATAATGAATGTATGTGTGATCACTGCATATATTCAAGGCTTCAAAAAGCATGAATGCATTTCTATGCCCACATCAGACTGGAACAGTCACCATTCTGGGGGATTTAAAATATGATTTGAATGAGAACAACTCAGGTCTTTTTCACAACAGAGAAGAAACAATAGCAAGACTTGGTTGTCCCATGAAAAAAGTTCTCATGCTCCTAAGTGTCTCATTAAAGTCTTCTTTGATTAAAGAAATTAAATACATGTTCTGGGCCAGGATGACGTATTCCTCCCTGCTTTCATCCTAAGAAGAAAAAGGAGATGAAATCATGCACCTTGGAGGCCATTTAATAGAATTAATCCCTTGTTTTGTGCTGGAAACTGAGAGCATTCCCAACATAGGATGAACTTCAACATTGGTTGAAGTTCTCTAACAAAAAAGAACCTTCTGGGCAATTGATTCTGTTGTCAAAATGTTTGACTATTAACATGCTTCAGTTTACTGAACCTCATTTGGTCTAACCCTGTTCTTTAGGGCAATAAGGAATTAATCTTTGTCCTCTTCAACATGATAGCCTTTCACAGATTTTGAAGAGGGTATTTCAGTTTTCCTGTCTCATGTAGTGATATTTTCCGCTCCCCCTTTACCATGGCTAGAGTTGGAAAATTTGCAATACCCTGTGCTCCTAGTGAAACATGTTACTGAATAATTGCTGTGTTCCATCTGCAAGGCAGCTGCACTTTTGCAGTGACAGCAACTTCTCAAAGAGTCCTCTTTGGTTCAGCCAAAGAATTGCTTTGGGGATCTGTGTAATGAAAGATGTTCAGTCAAAGGAAAATTGCTGCATTGTTATTTATGCTATTGAAGTGACACACAGGAACATATACATGCATAGATCTGGAGTAGCACATTACTTGTCTGCTCTTGTGCATTTACCTTTTTGATATAGTGGATGGTGACTTCCTGAAAGCTTGGCATATTCTGGGAGTGGCAAGTTTCATTTTCCTTGTTTTCCTTTGGCTGGCCTCCATTTTGAAGGACCCATAGCTAGATATGCATTGTCTCTTAGCTTTAGAAGGAACTGATCCCCACAAATCAAATCTGTTGAAGAAGCTATTGGGGAATGTTTCAAAGAACAGCTGAAGAGGGGTGAAAAATTTTCTATCCTGACTAACTTCTCTGGTGAATTATTGTAGGAATTCCAGAAAAGGAGACACTAATAAAGCACCAGTATGAACTGAACAGTGTTCCCCAACCTGGCACCCTCAAGGCATGCTGAGAGTTTAGTCCAAAGCCACCTGAAGAGCTTCAAGTTTGGGAAGGCTATTCGCAGCGGGTTAATAGGCCATACAGGCAGTCCCCGGGTTAAGAATGTCTGACTTATGGACAACTCATAGTTACGAATGGGACTACTTGTACTTAAAATGGCAGATGACACTTGTTACAGTACTTAAAATGGTGGACAGCTGACCTGTTATAGTCCTTAAAATGGCAGAGAGCTGACTGGCAACGTGATCTGCCTCAAAGTGGCGGACGGCATTCTCCTTCCTTGAGCCGACAAACCGCTGAAGCCACCTAGTGCTTTTGTGAGCATCACGAAGTAGTGCATGTGTTTTTAATACAGTACAGTATACAGCCTGTTTTCAGTGGTTCCTGAAAGCATTTTGCAGCTTCAGTGGTTTGTCAGCCTGAGGAAGGAGAACACTGTCTGCCACTTTGAGTCAGATCACTTTGCCTTCAGGATAGTGAGAGATTGAATTCCAATGGGTTCTCCTTGAATTGGGTTCTCCTTGCTGGAAGTCTGTCTCCCCCATAACTCAGTTTTAAGGTATAAAATAAAAGTTATAAGTTTAAACTTTACCAAAAAAAAACACCCTTTGTAAACAACTTTGTTGTTGTTGTTCATCCCTGAGATGCAGAAGTTCAGGTAGTCTTCTGTATACGTATTCCAACACAACTAGGTTGGAAAGAAAAAGCAAGGATGAATGGGAAGTTTAAAGTAGTGATTCTCCTTGGAATCCTGTACAGTATTTTCACTGTGAAGGAGATGCTTGAGTTCCCATATATATGTGTTGCTATACTAAGACAAACATTTGACTAAATAACGTGTTCCAACTTACATACAAATTCGACTTAAGGACAGACCTAGGAACAGAACTCATTCTTAACCTGGGGACTGCCTGGTATAAATGAACAGGAATTGGAATGAATTGTACTGCTATGTTCACGAATGCCATAAATTGTGTCTTGACAGCTTTGATCCAAAGAGAGCAGTACAACAACTTAGAGCTTGTGGAGTGCTGGAGACCATCCGTATCAGTGCAGCGGGCTACCCATCCAGGTGACTTTCACTTCAAAACGATTCTCTATTTCTGTTTTTCTCTAATAACAGTCATGCTTTGAAACAATACAAAAAAAAACAGCTGTGAAAGTAAACACTAAGGGACACTAGGGAATTTTTTTTTTTTTTTTT